GTCATCTATATTACTTTCCAAAAACTTATCACCAATCTCAACTGGAGTCATTTCTGTATCATCATCATCATCAACATCTATGATATAGATATATAGATGTCAGAGTGATGTGAGTTAACCACCTTTTAATGACTCAATTAGCCAATGGTTATCTTAACATCCCGCTATCCATGACTAAACAAGAACAAATGTTGATAAGAGAGATAAACAAGAATGTCAATGTGAAAATGTGTGTGTGTGTTTTCAATTTTTAAATGTTGACATTATCTTATTTTTGCTTAAAATTTTTCTGGTACTTACAGGAAAAATTTATTACTTATAAGTACAAGTACTGAAAAATGTACTTAAGTATAAGTATTTAAGTACAGGTTTCCATATGTACTTAAGTATAAGTATCTAAGTACTACATTTGTACTTAAGTACGTACTTAAGTACAAATGTACTTAAGTACTCGTCATCACTGGGCATTACTACAAGCATCACTCGTTGTGACAACCTTTAAACAATATACACAGGAATTAACTCCAAGTACGCAAACAACACTGTCAATTAATTCATTCGTAAATTTATAAATTCATTCATGAATTAATTTTATTTAAAATGAATCAATAGACGTTTCAAATATCCCAATGCACTTCCAGCCATCTTCCCATCTGTTTCCCATTCCTATTCATTTAATGTAGGTCTTCAACTCACACGCCTAGCTGCTTTCTACCTTTCAATTTTATTATTTTTTATCTTAGGAAACTTTTCTTTTTGAATAATGTCTGCACGGGCGTTAACTGATGAAATTGTTGATTTGCTGGAAAAAGCATTGAAGCTCACGACACACGCTCCTATCAGTTCTGTAATGTTTAAGAAGAAAATAAATACCATCAGATGAGTTCTAATGTAAGGTGGAAAAATAGTACAATCAACTCGTCTTCAGCATACTACAAAACTCACATATGTAAAATATTTCTGCCAAAAAATTTTTAAAAATCTTCCTTCTGTTGCACAAATACAAAAACACCAAAGAAAATGCTTGACGCGTTAACACGTGTTAACACGTGTCTGGCTGTCGAGAAAATTTTCAACGAAACATTTCAGCAGAGACACATTCAGATGCATTTTCAAAGCAATGTACAAACATCAAACTCATCATGCACTGTATCTCATGATGTTTACCACTTTCAAGCGAACAATTTTACAGATTCAACTGATTTCAGCACTTCAATATTATTCTCATTCAAACCAGCCACGGTAGAAAATGAAATGAGTGAATCAATGATGAGATAAACAAGATGACTCGACAAATGAAATGGTGAAATAAACGAGATGATGATGTTGTGATGATGAGTCAGTCCATTGCGACTTTCAATTTGCACGCCGCGTTCAAACCCAACTGCAATGTCGTCCAATTAATTTTTCAATGAATGAACATAACCGTGCATTTGATCATTAAGCTAATTTGAATGGATGGATGGATGGATGGATGGATGGATGGATGGATGGATGGATGGATGGATGGATGGATGGATGGATGGATGGATGGATGGATGGATGGATGGATGGATGGATGGATGGATGGATGGATAGATGGATGGACGGACGGACGGACGGATGGATGAATGGATGGATGAACAGAGGAGGCGATGGTGTAATGGTTAAGGTGCCTGGCTTTGCAATCGCCCTGACAGAGTTTGAATGCAAAAAGTTCCCTGTCGATCCCATGCAACAGTTGTTTGCATGCAATGTGCTTACGATTGCTCGGGAAAATGCTAACGGATAGATGAATGGATGATGGATGGAAATTTAATTAAATAAAAAAATAATTAATTAATTAATAGTTGGAAAAATAAATGAATAAATGGATACATTGAAAAATGGTCGAGCCTAGAAAAACTAACAAATGAACAAAAAAAATGAAAATAAAAAATGTATTAAAAAACCATCAATAAACAAAATGAAAAAAAAACAATTGAAAAGAAGAGAGCAATGATTAAGAAATGATGCATAATAATTAGACGAAATGAACATCATTCATTAGTCAGTCGGTCACTTGAGAATCAAAAAATAATTAGAGAAACACAAAGAAAATTCAACTGCTTTATTAACTTTCTTTTTTCAACTTTCACAATTTGCATTCATTTTTTTCTTCATTTGCATTCTTCATTTTGAATTGTGTGCGTTCATTTATTCATTATTTATATTTCATTCATTCATTCATTCATTCATTCGTTCGTTCGTTCGTTCGCTCATTCGTTCGTTTGTTCATTCATTCATTTATCTATTCATTCGTGTATCTATCTATTTATTTCTTATTAATTTATTTTATTACTTCTAGTCCGACGACAGTAACCTGGAGAGTGCATGCCATCATAAAGCCAAGTCGTTAGGAGTTATCGGCCCGTTATATTATTGGGCCATTAAAAATATTGCAGCCTATAAAAAACCACCCCAGAAAAATCTCCCTGAATGAAATGTAATAAAGTTGTTGGCAGCAAACTCACTGCAATCTGCAAGTTTGTTTCTCCATAGATTCATTTGAGACAAAAGTGTTCATTCATTTAATCAATCTTCTGTTTTTTTATATAACATTTATTTTTTATTAAAATATTTATTTTTTCATTTATTTCCTCATTTATTCATTTATTCATGATCACTACGTCACCCACCAATCTCACCTGTTCAGTTCGTGTCTGACGTCATAGCAGGCCCACAGGACCCTGGAGACGAGCGCCGGTGTCTGGCAAAAGAAGAAGACGACGACGACTCCGATGAGCATGACGTTCGTATCCACCCTTCGTCTCTCACTGGAATTCAACTGCAGACCTCGTTTGTAGGAGCTTCGGACTTCGAACATGAGGACCATGTTGCAGACGAATAGCACGACGAATGGAAGTCCCGACACAAAGACCAAATAGAAACCGAAATGATACAATGTTTTGAATCCACTGCTGGCGCCGAACTCCGTCACGTCAATTTGTATGGTGAAGTTGGATAAGAAAGATGTTGATGACGTGTTGATGACGTCATATGTCTGGTTGTTTATGAAGACGGTCTTGTACTCAAAATATTTTGGCAAATTGAACAGAAAACAGCAGACTATGCTGACGACGATGACTCTCCTGGCCGACTGTACGCTGCAGTATTTTGAAGATTTGAAGGGATGGCATATCATGATGTACCTATCCAGCGTAAAGATGACGGTCAACCAAACGGAGACAACTTGAAGCGTGAAAGCTGTAGGATGCAAGTACGGGAAGTAGTAAGCGTGGAGGTAGATCAGGAAGTGCTGAGGTCCTGTGCCCGATAGAAGTTCTGTTGCTGAGGGGGGGATGGAGTCTGTCACTTGCAGGAAAACCGTCGACAACACGAAGAAAAAATCGGTGACGGCGAGAGCGGTGAGGTAGCTGTATGTGGAGCTGTGGCTCATGGAGCGGCGTGTCAACACGGCGCCAGACATCAAGTTGCCCACCAACCCAAGAACGGACACCACCATGCCAACCACGCCGTTCAAATAATATCTGGTGTATGTGTGTGTGTTTGTGTGCGTGTGTTTGTTTGTGTTTATATGTATATATATATATATATATATATATATGTGTGTTTGTGTGTGTGTGTGTGTTTGTGTGTGTGTGTGTGTGGGTTTGTGTGTCTGTGTTCATGTGGAAATGCTACATTTTAAAATAACTTTTGTCATATAATTAAATGAAACAACACACAAAAATAATTTCAAAAATAAATGTGCATTATATATGATAGTTGCGAAAAAATGGGTAAACAGAGCATGAAAGTTCATTTTTTAACATTTTGGACAATGTCTAACAAAATAAAGCAACAAACCGGATCAGTTTATAACGCATCTGCGTGTTGTAGGACTTGCTGCACCCGGACATGGCGAGAATTTCGAAGATGTTTTGTTGCTGGTCGTCGTCCAGAAAAGAGAGGTGGTAGGTGTCGTTTTGCGAGGTTATGTACTGCGAGATGCATAGTTCTAACTCGGTACGATTCATGGCAGTTTAGTGATGCTCCCCCCGCCTTTGTTGTTTGGTCAGTTGAATTAAATTGAGGTTAGTTGACATCAAATAAGATAACGTTTTAGTTAGATCAGTTAAATGTTTGCGTCCGTCGGTTTAAAGTAATTAGTTCTCAGAATTAATCAATTTTATTCAATAACAAAACACTTACACAAATTTCTGTTAAAAGTGCATTACATTCAGTGCATTAGCAGTGCATTAGCAGTGCATTAGCAGTACACACAACAAATCATGAGAATATCTGTAAACCTGTTTTAAAACTTTTACGTTGCCGTTACAATAACAAATATTATCGTAATCATTATCAAAACCATCATCACAAGCATCAATTTAAATTGGTTACAATTAATTTCAATTTTATTATTCAAACAACGCTTAGAGCAGAAAAGTTTTAACAAGCCAAAATATCCTCATACCCATCAGCCACACAATGAACACATAAACATCACCACACAATGAACACATAAACATCAACATAGCACATAACTTACATAAAATCTATTTTAGTACGCATAAACAATACACATAAACCATACAATTAACAACAGAACAGCCACACAAACAAAATATGAACAACAATGAAACATAAGAACAAACTTCCAGATTCCAACGCCACAGAACATTGTGCAGGCAGAATTTTAGTTCAGTAAAAAATAAAATTAGGTCCAGACGTGAATTAGCATAACAAAATTATTTCACAAATTTTTAAACAAAAAGTTGTTGAAGTTCCATAAAATTGTCGATAAATTTAATTTGAACGAAAAAATAATTTTAATCTTGTTTGTTATCTTGCCTTTTTTTGTTTTTGTTTGTCTGTGTTTGTTTTTGTTTGTTTGTTAAAAAAAATTATAAATTAAAAAAGAAATTTTAAGGATATAATAACAAAACAAAATAAATTGCTGACGTGAACACAAAGAAGGAAAGAACTGAATGCACGGAGGAGTTGATGATCTCATCTGATGACATCACGATGACGTAGAGGAAGAGGATGGTAGTGTTGATGATGATGGCGACCATGATGATATGACCGTGGATACGCTCATGTGGTGAAGATGATGACGAAGATGATGATGAACAGGATGATGACAACGATGACGATGACGAAGATGATGATGATGACAACGATGATGATGATGATGACGAAGATGAGCATGGAGTGCTCATACTTTTCATTATTAAGTATTCAATAACGTTGTAGGCATTTTTTGTTTCATTATAAATAAAAAAAAAACATATAAATAAAAATAACATAAATACGATGTAAATGTAAGTGCATACCGCGAATATGTATATTACATATTTATATATATATATATATATATATATATATATATAGATAGATAGATAGATAGATAGATAGATAGATAGATAGATAGATAGATAGATAGATAGATAGATAGATAGATAGATAGATAGATAGATAGATAGATAGATAGATAGATAGATAGATAGATAGATAGATAGATAGATAGATAGATAGATAGATAGATAGATAGATAGATAGATAGATAGATAGATAGATAGATAGATAGATAGATAGATAGATAGATAGATAGATAGATAGATAGATAGATAGATAGATAGATAGATAGACAGACAGACAGACAGACAGACAGACAGACAGACAGACAGACAGACAGACAGACAGATGATGGCGACCATGATGATATGACCGTGGATACGCTCATGTGGTGAAGATGATGACGAAGATGATGATGAACAGGATGATGACAACGATGACGATGACGAAGATGATGATGATGACAACGATGATGATGATGATGACGAAGATGAGCATGGAGTGCTCATACTTTTCATTATTAAGTATTCAATAACGTTGTAGGCATTTTTTGTTTCATTATAAATAAAAAAAAAACATATAAATAAAAATAACATAAATACGATGTAAATGTAAGTGCATACCGCGAATATGTATATTACATATTTATATATATATATATATATAGATAGATAGATAGATAGATAGATAGATAGATAGATAGATAGATAGATAGATAGATAGATAGATAGATAGATAGATAGATAGATAGATAGATAGATAGATAGATAGATAGATAGATAGATAGATAGATAGATAGATAGATAGATAGATAGATAGATAGACAGACAGACAGACAGACAGACAGACAGACAGACAGACAGACAGACAGACAGACAGACAGACAGACAGACAGACAGACAGACAGACAGACAGACAGACAGACAGACAGACAGACAGACAGACAGACAGATAGACAGATAGATAGATAGATAGATAGATAGATAGATAGATAGATAGATAGATAGATAGATAGATAGATAGATAGATAGATAGATAGATAGATAGATAGATAGATAGATAGATAGATAGATAGATAATTCACAGCACACAGCATGGTCGGTGTTAGTTAACTTCCAATTTAACTTTACTATATATGTAAAGTAGGAACGCCCAGATATAAGTACATATAAGATACAGCAAATGATTACCAAAGAAGCTTCTTCTGTATAAGATAAAAATGAAAGAAAAAGTAGTTAAAAATTTTTTTCTATATAAATAAGTTAAAAAACGATAATAAATACAAGATACGAAATATTCAAAAATTGAACTAGAAACTGGTCATATCTGAAAATGCTGTGATATTTCTCAACAACGACAGCCTTAACCCTAGTAATACTAACAATATATATATATATATATATATATATATATATATATATATATATATTTATATATATATATTGAATTTGATATAATGAGTAGAGCGGCAGGGTAGGGTACGGCGAATGATGATGCATGGTGTTGGTGTTGTTGAGTGGAGAAGTTGAAGGACCGGCAAACTTTTTATGAAACTATTTTCAGGGATGTTTGAATTTGAAAGCAAAATGACAAACTTCCTGTGGACAACTCACCTCATTTTGTGACTCATCGTGTTAAAGGTACTAATAATTCATAATAAACACCGTTCACGCACTTTTACTAAGCATTAGATTTATTTGCTTTCGTAAAATTTATAATTTAACAACATTATTCATTCATTGAAAAAGAAACGTCTAAAAATTTATAAATTTGATGCCCATAATCAAACATTTTTGAAATTACTTCTTCTTTTTTTCAAACTTAAAAAATTGTACACAACCTAAGCCATATTTTGTGATTAGTCTTTTTTATTTAATAATAACAATAATGTGTCATTTGTATAGCTCTCAGTGCCTGGAGCGCTTTTAATTTTTATAGCGCCCTACTTGGTTGCTGTTGGCAGAAGTCTTAGATTCCTGCTGTCGCTGAAAATGCATCGAGTATTTCGTTTAACGTTCATTGAGTACATTCTCTCGTTCGTTTATTTTGGAGTTACTTACATTCTCTCTCTCTCTCTCTCTCTCTCTCTCTCTCTCTCTCTCTCTCTCTCTCTCATTCTCTGTAGTAGCAAGCATATCACGAAAGACTTCAAAACTTTTCCAACTGTTGGCATTCAGCTTACATAGCATTATATTAGCCTGTCAACATTTATTATCAAATGTGTCACTCCATCACCCGTCCACCAACAAAATATTCACCACAACTGAACATTCAACACCACAACTTAACAACCAAAACTGCCACCAACAAACAGCCACTAACGAACAGCCACAACGAACCACTGGCACAGCAAGCAAGAGCATATGCCGATTTCTTCAACGAAGTTTCCTTAGCCCACCGATAAAATTATACTACAGAAAATTTATCTTTTTCAATTATACTATAGAAAATTTATCTATTTCAATCAAAACATCTCAAATGGCTTGCTTATATTGATTCAGCCTATATTAGTTTTCAGTGTTACTGTTTAAAACAGGCAAAACATCATCATCAGTATCCACATGTGAGCATGCTTTAGTGAAGCGGTTACTTACAATCGCTTGGAAAGTTGCAACGCGTGGTTTATGACTTTTTGCAGCACTGTTAAGTTTTCGTTAAATAAACTGCAAGGCCTGTATTTATAACTTGTGTCTGCTTCTTGGCGTGTTTCTCTATTGAGGTAAATTCAAAATTTGCTGAGAGTGGCGATGATTAAAAAAAGTTTTTTAACCTCTTGCAGGTTTATACTTATTAACGCCATGCTTCACACGTAGAAATTGTTATATTAACTTTTTACTTTGGTAGTATGTTAAGCGAAATATCAAAAAAAGTACAAACAGTTTGTTTGGTTTCTCGACAATACTAGATTTTCTGTCGTAAAATTGTCTCAGTAGCACCAAAGTTAGGACGAGAATGTACCCTGCTACATTTATACACTACACAAAGAGCATGAGGACAGGACATTCGGAGAGCACTTCCTAATGCCCACTCCCAGATTCGATCTCTTCCTAACCTCGTAAACCATCAAATAACCCTCAGATGACCCTTAGATGACCATCAGATGACCCTCAGATGACCATTAAATGACCCCGCTGCAGGCCGTTATAGCCTCTTCTTCACTTAATTCTGCATAGCTTCATTCTTAAT